ACGGGATCCTCCGCGTCGGAGGCAGATTAAGTAGAGCACAGATGGAGTATAATGAGAAACACCCGATCGTACTACCGAAGTGTCACTATGTCTCACAGCTAATAGCTAAACACTATCATCATGAAGTACACCACCAAGGGAGACAGATTACAGGAGGTGCAATTAGACAAGCAGGTTTCTGGTTTATTGAAGGCCAATGACGTAGTCACGAAGGTCATCGGAGCTTGCGTCCTATGTAAGAAGCTGAGAGGACCACACCTAGAACAGCGTATGGCCGACCTCCCGCTAGATAGAACTGAAGTCTGTCCCCCCTTTACCAATGTAGGATTTGATGTCTTTGGCCCCTGGGCGGTGCAAACACGTAAGACTAGAGGAGGAGGAGTAAACGCCAAGCCTTGGGGCCTAGTGTTCACTTGCCTAAGCAGCAGAGCCATTCACATCGAAGTCTTAGAAGCTATGGACTCCAGTGCCTTCATCTGTGCATTGAGGAGGTTCTTCGCACTACAAGGCCATGCTAAACTCCTCAGATGCGATCGGGGTACAAATTTGGTTGGAGCTAAGATGGAGCTTGACGCAGCAGCACCCGAGTTAGACGAGAAGAAAGTGGAGAAGTTCGTAATGGAGTGCGGTTGCAAGTGGGAGTTTAACCCTCTCCATGCATCACACTTTGGCGGTGTGTGGGAGAGGCAGATTAATACGATTCCCCGTGTACTGGATGCCATGTTCACTGAGTTAGGTCAGAGTCAGCTTACACACGAATTGCTGGCGACTCTGATGGCCGAAGTTGTAGCCATTGTGAACACCAGGCCGATAGCAGCGCTGCCGTCCGACACCGATGACCCGCAGCCTCTATCCCCTGCAATGTTACTCACTATGAAGACACGCCCAGCCTCACCCCCTCCAGGCCACTTCATGCGGACAGATATCTACGCGCGCCGTCGATGCAGAGGAGTCCAGTTCCTTGCGGAACAATTTTGGACCAGGTGGAGGAGAGAGTACTTGCAGAGCTTACAGCCGCGACAAAAGTGGACGGAGACGCGGCGAGACCTGTGCGTAGGAGATATCGTTCTTCTGCGAGACGCATCACAACACCGTAACAATTGGCCACTGGGACGAGTGTCGGAAGTCCTGAGGAGCGACGATGGTAGAGTTAGGAAAGTCAGTAAACGTTGTCAGAGACGGAGAAAGGAAAACCTACCTTAGACCAATTAAGGAGCTTGTTCTACTCCTGACCGACACAGCTGATCCAGACCAGCAGTAAACGCCAAGACAATATGAGTAGCAAGGATAAGAATCCTTGGGCGAGGGGTGTGATGAACAATGAACATTTAATCAGAGAGAACTTGATTACGTAATTAAGCTTAGTTTTGTTTTGATTTAAATAAGATACGTTTCTGTTCTGTTTCATTTATTGAGTTTCTACGCCCCTATTTTCTTGTACTATTGTTCACAGTTTGAATCAATTACGTAGCTAGCCATTCCTGTTTTCTAACCGGTTTTACAACTGTACACGTGAATTGTACCCTTATCAGAGAACGCCCCTTTAGTTTTTGTGGAGTTGGAGTTAGGAGATCTCCGGAGCAACATCGGACTTTTCAGAGCAGTTTTATCTTTTTCGGAGTTAGTAACGTCAGAGTTTCTCTAGCCCTTAAGACAGGATCAGAATTGAGTTTCAGCTTATTGTATTTAGTTTTCGTTTTCCTTTCAATTTTGCTTCTTTGGCAATTAGTCTTAGCCCCTTTTTTGATCTTGTACAATGTAATTTCCCCTTTTAGTTTTCACCGCATGTGTACAATAATTCAGACGAGCTGGCGATCGTATTAAATGCTGTTGAGTAGACTTGTGCTGTTAAATTCTATACTGTGGTTGACACTTCCCGATCTCCAGTGCACAACATCCCGTGTCCGCTGCACTGGGTACGTGACAGATGTGGTGTATAAAAAAAATAATAGAATGGTTTGCACACACCCAGATTTATTGGCAAGAATTTGTAAACTTGTCGAACGCAAAAAATTCGGCCTGATTTGTTTTCCAAGAATTTGTTTTCCACGCCTTATTTACTGTGATCAAGAACCATTATTGCTCTTAAATGTGACCGAAAACTATTTTTTGGGTGTACATATCAGGCTATATCAACTCGATACAAGATTTGTTTCACTCCAAAATCACTTAGCTTTTCCCTCAAAAGTCACATGAATGTGCCCTTAAGTTAACCCATTCGCTCCTGGAGATTTTGCCGAAAAACGCCTTTTGAAGCTAGTCGAGTGGTTTTCTGGTCACTGTCGCGCTATAAAGAGCTAAAACTTACCACAAACCGGTTTACAGGTCGTACACTTGGCGGCCTTCTGATCCAGATGTAAAATATCAGCTTGCGAAGTTCGGGCATTCGAAGAAAGCAAAATTTCGCTTTCTCTCCTCCCTTCTTTTTTCGCTTTTCTTGCCTCATTTTTTTTCTCTTGCTGGGCATTTAGTAGGCTTCATTTTGGTGGGAAGAGTTTTTACGAAAGCTTTTAGGATCTTAGGATTAGGTGAAAGGAAAGGTAGGTGGGTGATGGAACAAGATTTTCATGGAGATTTTCAGGTCCTTGTCACGTGGTTTTTTGCTTCTTTCTCCGGTGTCCTTGACTGAATTGTGCTCATTCTGGTATGGTTTGAAAGATCTCTTCACTCTGCACAAGTTAGCGAAGAAAGTTGTCCTTGACCGTTAAAACTGATGACGTCACAAAGGGTAGAAAGGACCTGGATCCGCACGGGCGGTTACGGGCGGTTCAGGGGCGAATGGGTTAACTGATTTGTGGAATACAAAATTATTGTTTGATTTAAGTTATAAATTTATCAATGGGAGCTTTGCTTTTAGCTGTCGCTAAATCTATATATTAGTAAAGTAATAAAGTCTATTTACACACTTACAGTTTGTATATATCAGGCCATTTTAAGCAAGTGAAAGGATAAGAATAAATTGTTACGAAATTGAGCCACATATAACAACAAAAACTGTTTTGCTTTAATCTTCTATGAGTTTAGTATCTTGACCAAAAGTAGCCCCAGGTAACTTTTGGAACAGTCAATCAAATCTGTAATAATTTGCTTGTAATCAAGCAACATTACACGACAGTAATGTATTTCCGTAAATAATAGTCACTCCTCCATTTAATGAATTAGTAATGGTAACAGGACTGAGTGGAGTCCAATTCAGTCTGTAATCATACGAGTGAGTAACAAAATTGGACGACTGAGTAGCAGGAGTCCAATTTGTTTCATCGCGAGTAGGATTACGGTCCAAACTGGACGACATGAAGTTCTGTTACCAATTAATCACAATTTTAACAAAATTTGTGATGTATTACGCTCTTTTTTAAAATCTTTAGAGAAAAAACTTCGTCGTTTTGATCCAAATTATCATTCATACCATGACCTTGAGCATGGCACTGGTTGCAATAACATTAAGTAATGATCCGGGTAAGGTGGATAGCAATTTCTTTTGTTATGCGGCACGGTGCTTTCTCCACATAGAAATGCTCTCATTTTTACACAGAGAATGCATAAACCTACAGGAAGGCCGTTTATGCAATAAAATGCATTTACACTCCACTTGGAAAGGGTGTTTTTTGTTTTAAAAGATTTTGACCAATCACAAGAGTTGAAAACAATAGCCAAGAAAAGTTTACAATTTTACATGTTCCCCACATAGGATGTTTTTGTTATTCAAACTGAGACCAGATTTTGTTATTTGGAAGATGGTTGGAAAGTAAGGATGAATATATATGTACCGCTTTATGAAGTTTTGTTAACTTTTGCTGTTTAAGCCAATCGGAAGTAAGTAAAGACAAAAGAAAAGTTAGCACCTTTTTTGCATTCCAACATGTTCGTTGCTGTTGTTGCTATCGTTCTTATCTGGACCGTTTCTTAAATAACATGTTTATCAATGCCACCTTTTACATATGTACCTGTATTTTCCACTGTTGCAATGGGAGCTACAGGGTTCACACTTTCAACATCATTTACACCAGCAGCATAATGTACACATTGACTTTCAACTTGGGAATGACATTCTGCAAAGAAAGAAAAGAAAATTTAATACCTACCTAAATTAAGTTTTTACGACGTTGTATGATGGGAAAAAATAGAGTCGGATAGAAAGTGAAGGTACGGCTTTGAGCGCGTGCTAGCTTTCGTCACCATTCACTTATAGGCAAATAGTAAATGGGTAATTCACCAATCAGAGCGCATGCTTTACTTTTGTCATGTTATAATAAAAAAATATGTTAGAATAAAAACGTTCTATTCATCTCAGTCAATGAAAGTAATTTAAACATCAATAAACATGTTAACAAGAAGCAGAAGGAAACAACCTTCAAGTAGACATTTCTTTTTGTGGGGGAGAGGGGACATATAGAGATAATTAGCACAAGACATGATCTCAGGCTAAAGAAAACAGGAAGACATAACGGTAAAACAGGAAGATTACATTCCGTATCAGGAAGCTAACCGAAAAGGGTTAATCCTATCAAAACGGTATAAAGTTGAACTATTTCAAGAATAAAAGGTCACGTTTTACGGGAATACTGAGAAAAACACTGTTGCTTCGGGGAAATTGTAATGAATCATCAAAGTGGAAGCAAGAGCTTAGTAAGGCACAGGTTCTGTGGAATGAATTTGTGGATGCATATAATGACATTTTGGAAACAGTTCAAGACGATGAGTTAGCAAAGGTCAGGAACATCTGGGAGCAAGTTTGTGGTGAGTGGTCTGATTTTGAAAGGGATGTGAGGGATGAGATTAAGTATTTGGAACAAACAGTTTTGGAGTCTAATTCTGTCATTTCTAAGAGTTCAAAGAGGAGTAAAACAACCAAAAGTGTCAAGTCAAAATCAAGTTCAGACAGTGTACTTTCAACTAATAAAGTAGATAAATATAAGCTTCTAGCCTATGTGGAACAAGAAAAGGCCCTAGAAATAAAAAGGTTAAAACAGGAGCAGAAACTGGAAGAATTCAAACTTATGAGGGAACTTGAACTTAGTAGAGCCAAGTTAAGTGTATGCAAAGAGATTGATAATGAGCAAACACCCTCCCTTGAAGAAGATCTAGTAAATCTTCCTAGGGAGAGTAAAGGCGAAGGAGTGAAAAGACTCTTGCAATCTCTAACAGTAACTACCTGTGCAAATGAGGCTAATACATCAGTTCAGTCCCAAGTACATGTATCCCAAACACCTGTTTTGACAACAACATCCACACCAAAGACTACAACATGTGGTTTGCGGGCTTCTGCTCCATCATTCTCACCGGGAGCCGTAACACAGTCAGTATTTACTGTTCGTCATTTTGAACCTGAAGTTGGTCTTCCCATTCAAACAGAAGCAGCTTGTACAAAAGCTTTCTCGTCGGCAAAAACTGATCCTGTTGTAAGTAACTCCATAAGTGCTCCATCACCAATTATGTCAACAGTTACGAATTCCCCTTCAAGTTACCAGTTTGTTCATCCTCAAGGTCAAGTTAACTCCTTCTGTGAAGGGTGGGAAAAGATTGCTCCATCATTATGAAGGTGTATGGACAAGTTAACAGAAGGTAACTTAGAACAAAGTACTGTGAGCAAAGAACTGTTTGTTTCTGGACAACTTCCAAAACTGACCATTCCAGTATTTGATGGAGACCCCCTGCAATATCCTGTGTGGAAGAGTGCCTTTAATGCTCTAGTAGACTCTAGACCACTAGCAGCAGACATCAAGCTGAATATGTTCAATCAGTATGTAACTGGAAAGCCAAAGCAAGTTGTGGAACATTATCTTCTGATTGGGACAGAAGATGCTTATCAGAAAGCTAGGTCTGTATTGCAGGAAAGGTATGGAAACTGTAATGTTGTGAGTACAGCATTTATTAACAAGTTGAAGAAGTGGCCTAAGATAGGACCCAAGGATGCCAGTGCCTTAAGGGAGTTCTCAGACATGTTAGACAAGGTATTGGCAGCAAAGAACACCATTCCAGGTCTTTCTGTACTGGACTATGCAAAGGAGAATGTAAAGTTACTATCAAAGTTACTCTACTACCTTGAAACCAAGTGGAGAGATGCAATTAAACAATGGAGACATACCCATGGTGAAGCCAGTTACCCTACCTTTGTTAAGTTTGCAGATTTCATCAGAGAAGCAGCAGAAAAGGCAAACATCCCAGAGTTAGAGGGCCTCGCTACATCAAGTAGTCCAAGATTTAACAGAAATCCGAAGCTAAAACCAGATAATGAGAAGGGTAGTTCTCTTTCTACAGCAGCTAAGGGTGGTGGTAACAGTAATCAGACCCCACTACTTCTAGTAAATAAAAGGACCCTGGTCCAAATGGTTTGACGAAGTGTCTGTTTTGTGGTGCAAAGCACAAGTTAGATGATTGCGCTGATTTCTGTAGAAAGCCTTTCAGTGAAAGGAGAGACTTCTTCCGCGAACGTTTATGTATGGGTTGTGCAGCCAGTAAGAGTCATCAGGTAGCGAACTGCAAGGAGAGGTTGAAATGCAAAATGAAATCATGCTCAGGAACACATCCCACATGCCTTCACAAGGAACTAACACAAAACAATGCTGCCATCTCAAATTGTATGTGTATGTCTAATTCCTGAACAAAGCGGTGGATTTGATCACACCATAACAGTAACAGTGTGGGTCAGGCCAGTGGGAGAGCCAGAGAAGGAAATCTTGCAGTATGCAGTCCTCGACGGTCATTCAAATGTCAGTTTTGTATCTGAGACTCTTGACAACAATGCAGCAGCAAAATGCCCGTGTTAAAACTAAAAAGATATCTGGGCTAGAGATTCTTGACTATCATAGAGAATGTGTAGTGAAGATGCCAGTGGCCTTCACCAGGGAACTTGTTTCAGCTAACCGGTCGCAGATTCCAAAACCTGAAGTGGCTAGGGAATGGCAACATCTGAGGCCCATCGCCGATAAGTTGACACCGTATCACCCAGATGCAGAAATTTCTATCCTGACTGGAAACAACTGCCCAAGAGCTATCCGACCCAGGGAAATAGTTGCCGGTGAAGATGACGAGGCGTACGCGCAGAGGACTATACTTGGTTGGGGAGTTATTGGAAGAGTCTGCAAGTCTAGTGATGTTGAAAACACAGACAAGGGTGTGTGCAATAGAGTTGAGGCTTCAGAAACTCGTCGCCAGTTTGCATTTGCCACGAAGGCTAAAGAGATTATTGGCCCAGAGAAAGTTCTCCGTGTGTTAGAAACTGACTTTGTTGAGACAAGTCCTAAGTACAAACCTTATTCCATGGAAGATGAGAGATTTCTAAGGATTCTTGAGGACGGAGTAAAGAAACAATCGGATGGACGTTACATGATGCCACTTCCGTTGAAATCAGACAGTGTGTCTCTTCCAAACAACCGCCAGCTTGCTGTAAAGAGGTGGAACCAACTGAAGGCCAGATTCAAGAATAATCCGAAGTTCTTTGCAGACTACCAGACCTTTATGAAGGACATAATTTTACAATGTGCAGAGGAAGTTCCTGTAGATAATCTTAAGGCTCAAGACGGTAAAGTCAATTACGTACCGCATACAGGTGTCTACCATCCAAAGAAACCAGGGCAGATAAGGGTGGTGTTTGACTGTTCGGCCCAGTTTAACGGAGTCAGCCTCAGTGACTACTTGCTGCAAGGTCCTGACTTTATGAACGATCTGTTGGGTATCTTGTGTCGTTTTCGCAAAGAAAGCGTTGCATTCATGACGGACATCAAGAGCATGTTCCATAAGTTCGTGGTTGCCGAAGAACACAGAGATCTGTTACGTTTTCTTTGGTGGTTGGATGGGATCCCCCAAAGGACGTAATCGACTATCGTATGAAAGTTCACCTGTTTGGTGCCAGCAGTTCACCAGGTTGTGCGAACTTTGGGCTTAGGCGAGCAGGTGACGATGGCGAAGAGTTTGGTACAGATGCTGCGGCGTTCATACGCAAGAACTTCTACGTAGATGATGGACTAAAATCTGTATCAACGGTACCCGAAGCCATTCAGTTAATCAAGGCCAGTCAAGCAATTTGTAGCAAGGCTTGTCTCAGATTACATAAAATAGTCTCGAACAAGAAAGAAGTTCTTGAAGCTATTCCGGTTGATGACCATTCAAAGGAAATAAAGGAACTGAACTTAGCTGTAGATCCATTACCTATTGAAAGAGCCCTAGGCGTGATGTGGTGCGCTGAAAGTGACAGTTTCCGGTTCCGGATTGAACTTCATGATCGCCCTTTAACTCGAAGAGGTGTATTGTCCACTATTGGCTCCATTTATGATCCTAATGGGTACCTGGCCCCTGTTACACTCAGAGGTAAACAGATTCTTCAGCAGATGTGCAAAGACAAGCTGGATTGGCATAGCCCTGTTCCAGAGTATCTACACCCATAGTGGGAAAAGTGGCGGCGAGAAATCGGAGAAGTTGGAGAAACTAGAGATACAGCGATGTTTCACGCCAGACAACGTTGGCCAAGTGAAAGCAGTGGAGGTCCACTATTTTTCAGATGCTTCAGTGGGAGGTTATGGTCAATGCTGTTATCTAAGATTGATTAACGAACTCGATCAAGCTCATTGTTCCTTCATCGTCAGAAAAGCTAGGGTAACCCCCCTTAAACACAAGACTATTCCAAGGCCGGAGTTAGCTGCTGCTACCACATCTGCAAGAATGAGTGAGTTCATGAGAAATGAGTTGGAGCACCCGGAGATGAAAGAATTCTTCTGGACGGATAGCCGAGTAATTCTTGGATACATTAACAATGAAGCCAAAAGGTTTCACGTTTATGCTGCTAACAGAGTGCAGCAAATCCGGGACCTAACCGATCCCAACGCATGGTTTTACGTAGACACAAACAACAACCCCGCAGACGAAGCATCAAGAGGACTCACCGCAAAGCAGCTGGTTGAAGGATCTCTGTGGCTAACTGGTCCAGAATTCTTGTGGAAAAGCGGACCCTGTGAACCAGAAAACGTGGAGCTGCCTCGCCTTCAAGACTCTGACCTGTAGGTGAAGAAAGTGTCTGTTTTGACCACGAAGGTCAGAAGTGTTGCTCCATTTCCAGATCAATTTGAAATAAGCAGACTAGATGGTGTATCTAGCTGGTACCATGTTATAAAGGTCATAGCTCTATGTTTACGTCTGAAGTCCAAGCTTCAAAGAAGGAAGATTAAGAAACTCGAGAGTCCAGTAACAGGATCAAGTACAGAAGTTGAGAAGTCAATACTGAGAGTTACACTTCCAGAGCTTCAGGAGGCAGAGAAGACCATGATCAGATGTTTGCAGAACGAACATTTCCGTGAGGAACTTCAAATTCTCTGCGACTTAAATGTAACCAACGGAGAGACAAACAGAAACCAAGCCAGAAAGAGGAACCAAGCGTTACGAAAGACCAGTTCGCTGTACAAACTGGATCCGTTTGTGGACCATAATGGCATAATTCGTGTTGGTGGTCGTATCAGAAGAGCAGATACACCAGTGAAAAGAACACTTGACTGAACTGTTGATTCAACATCACCATCTCAAAGTGAACCATATGGGTCGTGGTATGACGCATAACGAGTTGCGGCAAAGTGGCCATTGGTTGATCAATGGTTCATCAAAAGTAGCGAGGTTCATATCGAGTTGTGTGACATGTAGACGACTGCGTAGGCCCACTGAGCAGCAGAAGATGGCCTGCCTTCCTGACGACAGACTTGAACCAGCTCCTCCCTTTTCGTTTTGTGCCGTTGATTACTTTGGACCGTTCATTGTCAAAGAGAGAAGAAGTGAAGTTAAACGCTATGGAGTATTGTTTACATGTATGGGGTCACGAAGTATTCATCTAGAGACTGCCAATTCATTGGAGAGTTCTTCATTTATCAATGCATTGAGGCGTTTCATGAATCGGAGAGGTGCTGTGAGACAACTGAGGTCCGACCAAGGGACAAATTTCATTCGTGCACGAAGTGAACAGAAAGCAACATTATGTGAGATGAATCAAGATCATGTTCAAGATTATTTTCTAAGGAATGGATGCGAGTGGATTCCATTCAAGTTGAACGTACCCCATTCTAGTCAATGGGCAGGACATGGGAACGTATGATTCGTAGTGAACGCAACGCACTTGAACCACTACTGTTACAAGCTAGCAGCCAACTTGATGATGAGACATTGCGAACACTCTTGACAGAAGTCGAATGCATTATTAATTCAAGACCCCTCAGCGTCCATAACGTATGTGATGCAGAAGCGCCAGAGCCGTTGACTCCTAACCAACTTCTTACTATGAAACCTAAAAGAGTGCTACCGGCCCCCGGAAAGTTTCAAAGAGCCGATATGTATATTGTCGTAAACGTTGGAGAAGAGTTCAGTATCTTGCAAATGAATTTTGGCTGAGATGGCGGGGAGAGTATCTTCAAATGTTACAAGTCAGGCAAAAGTGGGTCCAGCCTAAGAGAAACCTTGCTGTTGGTGATATAGTCATCTCTAAGGAAAGTGAAAGCACGCGCAACAAGTGGCCACTTGGCAAAGTAGTGCAGGTGTACCCAAGTGACGACAGATATGTCAGAAAGATCAGGTTGCTGATGGCAGACGGGAATTTGGATGATAGTGGCAAACGCCAATGCCCACCATCATATTTAGACAGACCTATACACAAGCTCACTCTATTGTTGACTGCAGATGAAGTGTTCCAGGAATATGTCTTTCACGAGGAGACCAGGGAAGTCCCCCATCATCGAGGAGCCAACGAAGAACAATTGAAAGACGCTGCAAAGGTTTCATTGTCAATGAACATTGTAGTGAACACTTGATTTTGATTAACTCATTTAACATTCATTCGCTGTTGCCGATCAGTGACTTGAGCTTTCGAGATTCTAATGTTTGAGTATCGAACTGATAGTTTGTTGAACGTTTAGCCTTAGGGACTCATGTAGGTTTATTGTTTTGTTTTAACTGCATGGCATGCAGTTGAGGAGCCATGTTACTACAGCAGTGCGGTAGTAAGGAGTATTTATGGTCAGCGGTTGTTACCATTTTGCTTAGGACTCGTGCTAGTTGCCGCCATGTTCTTGTTTATAACATGTGTGATTTAGGTTTACAACCTATGTAATCCTTCGCTCATCCGTATCGTGTAAGGCAGACTAAGTTTTCCCACAATGGGGAAAAATAAAAGTTGATGTCCCGATTACTGACTGTCTCTGAGATGCTCTGCTTGTTATACAATCCTATCTCGAAACTACTTAATCCGAGTGAAAGAAATTTTTCTCACACTATATCGAGCTTCACAAGGATAGGGTTTGTGAGAAGCAATGTGCTGTACTGGTACAACATCATATATTATCCACATTCAAAAAAGGTAGCCATGAAAGGTACAAAAATCTTAGAGACGTCTACTCCAGGTAAAAAGCAAATTTAAAATTCACTTGCAAGATCGGGAACTAAGCTAACGCTACACTGTCTACTTTTCAGACAGATCAAACAATTTTTAATTAAACTTAAGCTCACCTGCACCATCAAATCCAAACTGCGCTGAGCCTCTTTCAACGGGCACTCCTTGGACACTGAACTGCAAAAACATTTACGAACAGTCACATTGCAAGAAAAAAAGCATCCAATTTTAACTGACAACTTATTAGTCCCCTAAAAATTGGTTTCATAAAAGTGAAATGAAACAAACTATAGTCCAAATGGCCATCCTGCCGGGAAAGACAAGGGATGCGAATCCACTCGAATGTACAAAGAACACCAACAATTTACACAAGTTTATCGGCTTACTCACGTGCGATTTCACAGTTGTATTGCAGAAATTAACTCTGGAATTACATGTATAATCGGTAAAAGCAGTGTTGGTTTTGGATAATATTGTCCAAGAGTACAAGTGCGCCATTTTGTATTTTCTCTCTCCCTCGTCCCCTCGAAGCTCAAGAGGAAGCCTGGCACTGGCTGGCAATTTGAACTGCACAGGAAAAACCTTTAGCTTTAAAGCTTATGCTTTTTTAACAAAAGGTGTACATCTGAATGAATTGTATTGATGAGGGCATTAACTTGTTAGAGGTGCTTTGGACCTACATCATTACAATGCAAAAAATGTCTCTTTTTATTTACACAGGTTTTGGAAGCCACTGAACGGTCTTGAATGGTGAAAATATACATGAAGCATATACTTTGGCAGGGTAGAGCACTTCTTCATTCTAAAATTCGCTGGTGAGAGACGTGAGCTAGCGTACTTGAATTGGTTTAAGCCACCATTCTTCGAGGAAAACGTGAACTTGTGGAGAATTGACACCTGTCTACGCTTTTACAAGTGGCTGCCATACGTGTTCGTCAAGGACATTGAGTCTTAAGTAATCGTAGCCAAGGACAGGAATAACATATGGATTCTCTCACCCGTGTAATGTCCAGTCCTGATCTCAACAGCATCTGAAAGCTTTCTCTGAATATCTGAGTTGGATCAACATAGCCAGGTCCCGTTCATCTCCTAGTCTGCTAATACAGCCCTTTCTCCTTGCCGCCAGGGACGTTGACATCGCAAACAATGGTCTCCATCGTGGATTTTACCACCCATTAGAAATCAAGTTACACTCGCAATATAATTTTACCCGTGGACATACAGGGGGGGGGGTCAGGCGTACATGGTGGTTGCCACCCCCCCAACCCCCCGTGAGGTTTTTATTTTTTTCCTAGCGGAACGCTCTTAGCGGCGAGGAGCAAGGAGAACCGGCTGTAGTCAGTAGAAATTGTCTTACTGGTGTTGAATTTTGTGCGCCGACAAATGCGAGAAAACAAAGTTAAAGTAAGATTAAGTTTGAGTTAATTTTTAGCAGACAATAGGCGAGTTTCGTATTTCCGGGTGGCCTAGGACGAATGCTTGCTTTTGCGCAACAGCGAGGCTAATGCGGGTCACTTCTCAACAAGAAGACAAACAAACACTAGAAAACTGCGTCTGAGTTGCCGAAAAAAGGGAAAATTTGAAACGCTGAAAGGTTCCGGAGGTTTCAAAACTTACTTACAGGTTTGAGAAATCATTGTTTCAAACAGCAAAAGGGAAATCAGCTCGTCATCACTGCGAAAGACAATGAGCCTGACCAGAAATCGACCAAAATAGTGTTAAGATGGTTTCAAAATCCTTAAACACTGAAGGTACTGGCCTGAAGCCAATTTAATGTTACTTGAGTGATGGTTAAAAGTTCTTTAAGCCATACCTTCCATTGGAGTGGACGTACTTGTCGAACGCCTGCAAGTTCAATTGAAACCTTATTTTCAGTTGACTTTTTTTCTAACAGAGCGAGGGCAAAATCTTGTGCTTTTGAAAAAAATACAGCGACCGGGCAGACGTCCTGCATTCATTCCTTGCACTGTGAGGAGGTTAATTCGGTTTTAACGAAGATGACTATAATGGAATTAGTTTATTTAAACATAAGCTTACTTCTAGTTGACAGAGAAGAATATAATATATGCTTCTCAGAGAAAAACGTAGGCGTATTTCCGTCGACAAGAACTCAACACAGAATTTTATACAGACAATGTACTTAGCCGTTTAAACTCCATTTTACAGATATACACAAAAGTAAAAAAGAATACTAAGAAGTAAGATAATTAAAGGGAATAAAATATTGTCATTTTAACAAACTGTACCCTTTTCAAGCTTAAAAAGTTTACCTCTTCTTTTGGGTTCGTCGCTTTTTTTTGGTCTGTTACATACGATCAGCTTTTTCCACAATTTTGTTGTTTGCAACAGAAATCCCTTTGGCTTACAGGTAAAGGTTAAGCTTCAAAATCTTACTGTTTCGAAGATTTCTATCGTTTTCCAGCGACTCAGCGGGAAATTACATATGTTTGTTTTTGTTTTGCAAAGACGTTGACTCGCATTAGCCTCGCAATCGAGGCTTTTTTTCTCTAGATCAAGGCTGATTTAGCTAAGTTGTTTTTCTTCTTTTTCAACCATTCAGCATCACCATGTGAAATTAACATTTGTCTGTAGGTGTTTTGTTTTTAAGGTCATGAATGATGCCCCAGTGTCATGTGTGGTAAAACATTTATGTGCTGTCTGCTTTGAGTTGAGAAGTGGCGAAAAGGGTGAAAAATGTCCGCAATTAGGGCCATATATTTAAAAATATATATTTAGACGCCAGTGGTTGAAAAGTGGTATGAAGAACTGAATTCGCAAAAATACTTTCACTTCGTATCTTAGCTAATTTCATTACACCGTTTATTTATTTTCCAAAACAAGAAGTGTGATATTTTGAACAGTTTTTGACTATTGCCTGTCAGGTATGAATCTTTTTATATGGCTAGTACTGTTAATATCTGTTGTTTGATGGGTTTGGAGGCTAGCTTAAGAGAGATGTAAAATTAATACTGAATTTTATAATTCAAAATGACATTTCATTTCATGGTTATTTTTGTTTTGTTTTGTTTTCCTTGGATTTTGTTTATCAGGACGATAATGGTTTGGTCAGAACAGAAAGGTGTCAAACTGCTGCGAGCTATGAAAGCAGAGGGGGTATTTGTAACTAACAAGAGAGGCAGCCAGGAGAGAGGTGTTGTGTGGCAAAATGTTGCGAGTGTCCTTTTTGCAGACTCTTTGACAGTAAACGCAAGGGGCCGTAAGAGACCAGTACCAAGTACTTGCAAAAAATGGAGAGAGAAAGTGAGAAGACAGGAAAATGAAAGTGGAGGAGGGGATGAGCAATTGACAGAAGTTGAGATCTTACTAGAAGAGCTGGTAGAGATAGAAAATGAATCTGAAAAAAAGGCTGAACAGGAAGGCGATGGACACAAGAAAGCAGTGGCAGAAGAGAAGAAAAAAGCCACAGAGTTGAGAGAGAGAGCACTGGAGAGGTTTAGCTAGACTAGAAAGAGGCATGAGCATGAAGAATCAAAAAATGATGAAGAGGAAGAGGAACCTAAACAAAGAAGATCAGGTGGAGAGGTAATGGAATGGCTGAAAGAAAAAGGTGAATATGGACGGCAACTAAGGGAGCAAGAACTACCGGAGAAAAGAGAGGAAGGAGAGGCACAAAGAGTTCAAAATGAACAGTTCATGCTGCAGCTTCAAAGCCAGAATGAACAAATGAAACTGTTCCAGCAACAAATGCTGCAGCAAATGCAGCATCAACAACAACAGCAGCAACAGTTTGTCATGATGTAACATCAGATGATGTCCATGGTACAACAGCAAGCCCAAACTATGTCACATTTGTTGAATAAGAACGATTAAACAGTTAATGGCTATTTTACAAGGCAAACACAAAAATAATTGTCATCGCAATTTCTTGAATCATTTACTGTTCAATAATATTTTTCAAAAAGTTGCAACATTGGGTATTCTTTCAATAGTATCCATGATCGTAAATTCAATTCGCGTTTATTTAATTAGTGAAAAAAAATTGCGTAATTATGTCACAGCACAGACCTCTATACATGTAACGGATGGACCATTAGACAATTTCTGGTGGAAGTGGGGAAGTTTTGTGGCATATGATTGTTTTCATCAACATTTTCCTAATTTTTTTTAGCTATTGCAAGAATATTTGAGGGTTTCTTAGCATGCATGAATTTTTTCCATTTAATTTTTCCTTGCAAGAATATATACTTTTTACTTAACTCCCACCCCCCCCACTTCCCACACACTTAGAAGTTTTCTGATTACATCTCTTAGTAAGCTGTATCATTTCAAAACTAGTAATATCCTGCATCTAATACAGCGATCATTATTTGCTTAGAAGAGAGCATCTAATGACTTTTAACTTGCATGTCAATGTAAAGGAGGCCATAAACATGTTTTTGGACATGGAGACAAATGTCCAGACAATCGCAACAGTACTCCTCTAAAAACACCTGAAATGCAGCAATCCCTGCTTCAGAGGTAGCATGTAGAAGTAGCTTACCTCAGGAAAGAGCGCTAGGTGTAAAATGGTGCGCAGTAGAGGATCTGCCGAGTCTGAAGCCAGTGAGGAGTGAATTTCCCAACACTAAGCGAGGTGTTTTAAGTACAACAAGCAGTCTGTTTGAGCCTCTTGGGCTTGCCGCCCCATACGTGATTAAGGCAAAACTGATTATTCAAGAACATAGGAGGCGTCAGATCAAGTGGGATGAAGTGTTGCCCAACGACATTCCTCAGCAGTGGCAAGTTTGGAAGAACGGTTTGAAGACTTTGCAGCCTATCGCAGTTCCCTGATGGTACAGCTTCCATCATCATGAGTGCCAAAGCGTGCAGTTACTTTTGTTTTGTGATGCCTCTGAAATCGCTTACGGAGCAGTTGCCTGATTTCGTACGGTGACGTGTGGATGTGTTAATATGAGCTTTGTTATAGGCAAGACAAGATTGAATCAAGACATTGACCATACCACGTTTGGAGCTGCAAGCTGCAGTTGTGGCCGCTAGGCTGAAGACCAAGATATTAGAAGAAATCGACTTTGAAGTTGACGAAACACATTTCTGGAGTGACTCCGAGATCGTGTTGCACTACCTTAGCCACACGCAGAGGAGATTCAGCGTGTACGTATTACACAGAGTTGCTGGAATTACCGCCAGATCAGACGTTACATCACATTTCCGGCACAATAAACGTAGCTGACAATTGTACAAGAGGGAAGGAGATTCACGAATTAACTCCGGAAAGCCGATGCATCAGCGGCACCCAATTTTTTATGCTACCTGAAGAGGAATGGTCGAGTTCCAAAGAAGACCTCCGAGTAAATGACAGCGAATTAGAGGTCGGGGTCTCAGTCCTAACAACCTCGATCACTCCTTCTGTGATTGTAGTAGAATGGGAAAAATACTCTACTTGGAAAAGCCTTATTAGGCTCCACCTCCAGGGTGGCAGATTAAGATTTCGACTGCTGATGATCTCAAAGAAGCATCATTGGCCTCGTGCAAGATAACCCAAATCAAATCGTTTGGGGAGGGGTATAAGGATCTTCAAGCAACTCAAGCTCTGAGTAAAAGCACACTTCTTCCCTGGCGACTGGTCCTTACAGAAGGTGGCCGACTGGACAAAGCTCTGATACCCTTTGAGACAAAGCACCAAGTAATTGTTTCACCAAAACATCCTTTGTACAGGTTGCTGGTTCAAGACCTTCACAAGAAACACTTCCACGTAGGAAGAGAACACGTTTTGGCCCTTGTGCATCAGCAGTTCTGGATCCCACGAGGGAAATGATTCATTAGAACGATCGTTAATGACTGCCTGCACTGCAAAAGGAGAAGAGCGAAACCAGAAATACCTGTGATGGTATCCTTACTGGGAGCGATCGACTTGCACTGAGTGAGCTTCCGTTCACAAACACCGGCGTGGACTACTTCGGTCCGATGAATGTTAAGAGAGGACGAGTCATGGAAAAAAGATGGGGATGTTTGTTTACGTGTCTGACCACCAGTTCGGTTCACTTAAAGCTAGCAGGTGACTTCACCACTGATTCCTTTATCATGGCGTTGAGAAGATTTTGCAGAAGAAGAGGCAACCGTAAGACAATGCGTTTGGACAACGGAACGAAATTTGTCGGATGCTTGGAAGTCACTGAGTGAAGAACGGATTAATGGAGAGCTTTCTCAAGAAGGGATCACCTGGTACTTCAAGCCCCCTTCATCCCCAATATGGGAGGAATATTCGAGTCAACGGTCAAGCAAGTAAAGAGAGCTATGAAAACCATCATAAATGATCAACTTCTACCCGAAGAAACACTCCATACAGTCCTTGTCGAAGCAGAGGTTATCATAAATAGTCGTCCGCTCACTGGGGTCAGTGATGACATCAACAATAACGAGACACTTACACCAAACCACTTCCTCATCGAACGAGCATCACTAAACACCCGGTCAGTTTGAAGAACGTGAAATTAATAACCGCAAGAGGTGGAGAATGGCCCAGGTGCTTGCTGATATGATATGGCGATGATGATCCATTCGAAGTGGAACAAAGAACAGTGTAGCTTAAAGGAAGGCCACTTGATCCTGTTGGAAGAATGATGATGCGCCCCGGTCACATTGGCCTTGCCTCTTGGAAGAGTTGTCAAGACATTCCCTGGAGATGATGGCAGAGGTCAAGACTCCTGACGGAACCTTGATGCGGCCTGCCGCGAAGATGTGCTTGTTGGAAGAATCTGCTTGATGGTTTGAAGAATGCAGAGCAGTGCTTTACCAAGAACGTTTGTAGTTAGGAACAGTTTTCGGTTTTGTTGATGTTTGTAAATTAGGTTGTCATTCGTCTCATTGACTCACTTGGGGGGGGGGGGACTATAGAGCGGTCGCTGGCCATTCAACTCATAGTGATGTGATGTGATGTGCATGACGACTTCGTAGCGGTCAAAATGTGTCATTCTCCGAACCCCACTCCACTGGGGTTCATGCATATGCAAGTCCATTGTTTCCCAGTATCATGTGACATTTTTGCGTCACGTGCTGTCATTAGACCGGAGCGAGCTGAACAACCGGTTTCACAATCTCAGGTATATTCGAAAGCCAGCCGTGAACAGGAAAAAACGACAAGTAAACAAATGCTGAACAGGAAGTCAACAAACACTATATACCACCGACTTGAAAATTGAGGCCAGCGACAAAGCAGGGAGGTACTTGTTTCGGTTGTATGATCGTCAGCGAGGCGATCGAAACTACATCGCTTAACTGTTTAGGATGAAGTTTTTGTTCCATTGTGATTTCGTCGAACTATGACGCTTTCTTCACATGCAAGTAAGTACACATGTTTTTCTTGCGTAAATTTTTAACGTAATTAATAACGATTGCTTAGTTTCATTTTATCAGAGAGAAATGTAAGCAGTTTTGATCGTCCCAACTGGAAGATAATGACAAACATTATACATATACAGTATTGCATCAGCTGATTTTAAGCGAGGTTTAAGCTTATCTTTACATTAAAGATCCGAACACCGCAAGTAAACCGAAAGTTTGCAAGATCCGTACGTTTCTGGTGTAGATTACATGCCGAAATGCGTGGCTTTGTCACTGAGACACTGTGATGCTTTTGTTGTTATAGGGAGGGACTGGAGGCCATTTTGAGCTGTTTTGACAATGTAACATGTTGCTCATTTTCATTTTTGTTGTGGTAAAAACATAACTTAGGCAGCCTAATACTACATAATTTTAGATATGCAGAGAAGTGTACCAGGATTTCAACAAAGTTTGAAAACATCAAAGCTTGATTTGAGACTGTTCTTGTGGCTGCCATTTTGAAAGCTCAAGGGTACATATATTTAGTCATCACTGGAAGGGGATTTAAACTAACTGTATGCAATGAACCCTATAGAGGAAAACAATGCAATCAACCTCATATTATTTTTGATTTTGTTCTAGCATAGTAAACTGTATTATGACTGCTGTGGAGGAGTTGCAGGATACGACTAGTGGTTTTGGGTGGCCAGTTTCACTTAAAGTTTACAGACGTGGAGAACATGTATTTTTTGAGGTTCAAGCTGTTGTTGAGTTACTTGGAGTTGAAAAGCAAGTCAGGAAACATGGCTTTAAATTCATTGACAAGTTTCTTCGTGAAAATGGTCAGTATAGTATTTGTAGTAAAACCTATATTATTGCCGACTAGTGGTTTGAGGCCTGATCTCTGCCATCATGTTTATTGTCTCTCTTCCACCCACAATACTTGTCTCCTTAGTTGGTGATATTTTCTGCCCCTTCAATCTTAATATTAAAAGTCTTAATATTAAAAGTGTTGGTTTCCACATTATATTACTGAGCGTCACAATTGGCTACTGCCATAGCTTTAGATGTTATAAAGTACAAAGCTGGAAAGCAGTTTACATTTCACGACGATGCCAAATCTTACTTACTTTCATTTTTGAACTGTCTTTTCTACACTAATTCAATTCATCCATTTTAGG